ACATCATGGTGTGGGGCTGTTTTTCAGCATTATTACAAATAACTTCATTTCTGGACATTTATGGTTTGATTTCTTTGTATGTATGGATCACTTGGGTTGTTACCAACATCTGGTGAAAATTTCATGTCATTAGCACCTCTAGTAATATATTTACTGAGAAAAATGTTGATGTGTTCAATACTTATTTTACCCGCTGTAATGTCCCATGAGCCATTGCTGCCGAGCATACGGTACGTCAAACTTTCTCCAAGTGCACGGGCTTAAAATAAAAACAAAAAACAATGTTTGCCGCACCAGCTGCTAGCTTAATCATAAAAAAGGACTTTACTGAAGAAGTATTTGCATTTCATGGTTTATATTATTGCATTTAGTTGCAGACCTCAGTAGATTTTTATTTTGGTCCTCTTGAGGAAAAAGTTTCTGCACCCCTGAGCTAAAACAAAATCATTAAGTAAAACAGGAAGAATAAACGTCAAAATAGTCGCTAAATCACAGTTATCAGCTCAAATCAGCAATACGTTAGCTGGAAGCTTAAATTTGAAAAACCGTAGCAAATAGCTAAAAATGTACTAAATTGTAACCAAATGCTAAAATTAGCAACAGCTAACCCAAACATCCAATTAGTTCCTTTTACTTCTTGTGCATGAAATAGGTTCTAATAATATGAGTGTTTCAGCTACATAAGTAGAGTAAATCTTGTAAAATCACTCAGAAATTAGCACCGCTTTATTTAGCTTTGGAAAGTTTTGTGTTTGAGGTCTGAGGCCTCATGTGACACCTGACCCCGGCTCACGAGGGTCACTCATGCTGAGGACGAAGGTGCAGAACTGGAAATGCATATGGCGTGTTTTAACGCCACGTCGCGTGGATTACCGTGACGGTCTTGATGCGACCGCTGCCCCTGGTGCAGGTCCAGCCGGATCTGTTGAACAGGAGGCTGCAGACCTCCCCCTCCAGGCAGGGAGCCATCTCACACCACTGACGACTCCGCACTATTCGAGCTGGGGGGGCGAGAAAGACAAAGAGGGCAAAAAGGCGAGTCAGACAGATTGACGAAGCCATAGAAAGACTTCCAAATGTCAACGTTTCCTGGAACAAACTGAACGGTCCTTTCTGAAGTCAGCAGACAAAAAAAAAAGTTCCCTCAGAAGCAGATGTGTCTCAAACTGTGCAGTATTTTAATTAAGTTCTTGTTGAACTTGCATGTCTGAATTGCCTGTGGTATTAACCTTTACAGACCAGATGGCAGTCCATAAATTACTCTGTTGCTAACACTAGCTTTCATAGCAGCTACACAGAAAGATGATATTTTTTTTGTCCCCTTTTGACATTTTGTGGAAATAATTACTTCAGCTGCTGCTTTTTTTTCCAGGAAAATCTAGAAAAGTTCATTTTAAAGCAGCTCTGTTGAACTTTATTTCAAGCTGAACTGTACAGTTTTTATTCAAGGCCTGCTTTAACGTACAATTTACAAAAATAAATTCAACAAATACTTAAGAACTGGGTAATTTTGCCATGAAAAAATTGCAGACTTTTTATTCTATAAAAATGAATAGCAGTAATATACCTTTTATTACTCAGCATAAATTATTTACACCATCCTTGTATGTTTGTATGTTTGCTTTTTATTGTGGGTTACCTTTACAGCGACACTGAAGCACAAATAGATTGAAGGTTTTCTATGGATGATAAATCAGGACAAATGATACATAAAGTAATTTTATGAGGTAAATCGGTTAGTTTTGGACCTTGGTTTGATCTAACGAGTCACTAATGTGCCCGTTGTTTTATTTAGCATAAACACACTCAGGCATGAGCAATTTATATTTTAAATTTAAGTTTTTTTTTCTGAACTTGCGAAACTTATTTGGCTGGTCGTTGAATCAGTCCACCTCTAAGACTTCTAACCAGATCTGAGATTAATCATTAAACCCTGGAGGATAGGCAGTCCCAAGCCTCACTGTGCTTCTCCTTTCTGTCAAAAAATTTTATTTATGCTCAACTCATTCTAGAGAATTTTAATTTTCTGTAAAACTGCAGTGTGAATGCTTAAAGCTGAAAGATTTGCAGGAAAAAATTTATCGACCAAGACTTTGCAACTTGTAAAATAGACAAAGAACAACTGAAAAGGACAAAAAAGTAGCTGAAAAAGCTTAGAGGAAAGAGCACATATGCTGAATTAAGAAGCTGAAATTATCACAAAAAGGCGAATTTAGCTGAAAAAGCTAAAATTAGCTGAAACATCTAAAACGTAGCTTAAATAGCCAAAACAGCTAAAAGAAGCATAAAAAGCTTAAAATGGCAGAAATAAGCTGATAGAAGTACAAAAACAAGTTTAAAACAGCATAATAGCTGACAAAATAGAAGATAGTTGAAAAAGCAGATAAAAGCTAAAATTAGCAAAAAAAGAAGCTGAAATTAGCTCAAAGAAGTTTTAAAAAGCAGAACAATAACAAAAGGTGAAAATTGCAGTAGAAGTTTAAAAACCTTTTACACTTTATGGATGCTGAATGGAGCTTCATTCATTTTCAATTAGAAAAAAATGGCAGAAAAGGCCAAATATCTGAGAAAGTATAAATTGCTGAAATACCAAAAGTCATAGCCATAATATCCTCTAGGAGCTGATTGTTTTAATGTATTTTTTTTTTCAAATAGCACAAACATTGGGAGCTAAATAATGAAAAGTGTATGATCTCAACTGCACAAATGTTTAAACAGCATTCACACAATAACTGATTGGCACATTATACAGATTAATACAGAAACAGAAAACCTAAATCAGGTGGGTTTTCTTTCCAGGCCATGTGCTTTCCTTCCTTCCTGCATGACGCTTGTGTTAGTCACATCTGATCAGACAGATTTTGTCGTGTCACAGTAGTAATGACTACTGTTGTTCTCAGCAGGAAATGAGCAGAGAGTTGCAAAAGTCAAGCTGCTTTTTCTTCCTTACAAAATCCACCTCCTTTTTGAATTCTCACAAGCATTTATAAGACTTTACCRAACTTTAAACAACTCTTTTTCCTTACTTTTACAGTTAAACCCATTTACAAGACCTCAGCATTGTATGAATAAATACGGAACACATTTTTCACCGCGTTGTGCGGACGGAATAAATTTATTTCCATAGCGGATGCGGTTGTAAAAACTCTGTTCGACAGCCGCAGGGTAAACCTGAAATAAATTTTCAGCACAGTTCCAAAAACACAGATAAAAAGGTGGAGGATTACAGAACAGTTTGACAATAAAAAAAGCCTTCCTCCGAGTCTTCTTAAAGCTATTTGTCAGCAGCAGACGTCAGGTTGCGACGACGTGAGCCCGTGGTGTTCTCATTCTCCGCGCTGCAGTCCTGGCTGCACGGCTCCGGATTAGCATTCGTCTGCAGCCGACGCTGATAAGCATTGATTGTTCTTTACACGGCATGCTAAAGCAACCCTGAAAGGTTACTGGCTCTCCCTGGACCTGACCGGGGGCCGCTGCTCTTGCCTGCCTACGATCCCCCCCTGAGGTGGGAACAACCGTGGAGCGTCGTAACACGGCCGGCAAATTGAAAGAGAGGAACTCCAATTTGCTGAATGAGCACAGGAGAGCTGAAGGTGGAAAGACGTAAAAAGGATGAGGAGAGGAAGGCCTTGTGACATTTTTATGTGAAGCCATCCTGGTTCAGACCTTGTTAACTGTCAGAAACTGGCCTTCCAAGTGTCAGATTCTGTCGGCTTCTCAGCAATAAAAAAAAAATCTTGTGGTATTTATCAAGCTGACTGAAAACTCAACCGTTGTTGATGTTCATCTTCACACAAACAAAACTTCCTTGTCACGACGTGTTAGTCTGAATTCCTGGGTCCGTCTCATCAAAACCTGACATGCCACGAAAAAAAATATATATACACATCAAAAGAAGCCAGCGCTTTTTACAGTTAGTTATCGGGAGATACAGAGGTGGGAAAAAAAACAATCTAGAAGCCTGCCAACTCGATGAGCAGAGCCAACTTAAAAACRTATTAAAAAGGCCCACAACCGGATTCTGAGACAGAGCGGTCATTATAGCTTCACCCTGAGCGGAGGAGCTGGCAAATCTGAAGTGACCTTCCTCCTGACACAGCAATACGCCGTGGTGGATTTTCATTTTCACAGCCATCCGTCAGGCGCAACAAAGCGTAGATTTATCAGTCAGTTGCAGATGTAGTTTTGAGTACATTACAGGGCCAGCAAAACTCAATTTCCAGGGCAGGAGAAGAAAAGCTGAGCTGGCAAAGCGGTGGGAGAGCTGACTAATGGTGGAGTGCACCAGCCTCAGCCAGCAGAGCGGGCGGAGGCTGGTTAAAATAAATGCTTTTCTTCAGCTCCCTGACACTTTCAACCTTTTTCTTGCTTTATTTTTTTTTTCATATCATCAGTAAAAGTGGGAGCTGATCTTTGAAGACTTGATGAACCTCTGGTGAAACCTGAAGGAGAGTTGGCAGAGCGCGACGGTGATGCCAACAACCTCACCAGCAACAACACAAGAAAGAAAGATGCAATTGTTGCATTTTGACCTGTTTGTATCGATCAAATCTTTTCCATACGCTGGCATGCGCTTGTGAAGACCCATTGAAAAGCTTCTGGTACAACCACTGGAATCATCTGTAGCGTAAAGGGTTTCAGCTGAAGCTGTCAGCACGAACCTTTCTTTGTAGATCAAGTTCTTTCCCATTCCTACTTGATGTTCAACTTCAGTTGCTCACCAGTCCGGGGTCTCCGTTGTCTTAGTTTCYACTTCATAATGCTCCACACATTTTCAATGGGAAACAGGTCTGGACTGYAGGCAGGCCTGTCGAGTACTCGCRCTCTTACTACGAAGCCACTCTGTTGGAACACCTGCAGAATGTGGCTTGATTGTCTTGCAGAAAWCAGCAGGAYGCCCATGAAAAAGACGAGGCTTGAATGGCTAATGCACCTCCATACCATCAGAGAGGCTGGCTTTTGAACTTTGCGCTGATAAAAATCCAGACAGTCGTTTTCCTCTTTGGCCTGGAGGACACCACGTCCATGATTTCCAAAATCAATCTGAAATGTGGACTCAGACCACAGGRCACTTTCCTCTTTGTCAGTTCATCTCAGATGAGCTCGGGTCCGGAGAAGCTGGTGGCTTTTCTGGTTYGATATAAGTCTTTGCATGGCAGAGTTTTAACTTGCACTTGTAGATGTAGAGATGAACTGTGTCCACTGAATGTTTTCTGAAGTGAAGACGCGGGCATTCWGTGATGGTTTTCGGCCTTGCCTCTCTCTGGCTTGCAGAGATCTCTCCAGATTCTCCAAATGATTTGAT